CGAACCGAACCGAACCGAACTCGAATCATGTGTTGAAAAATGATGTCGAACCGAACCGAACCGAACCGAACTAGTATTGGTTGAACTATCATTTATTTCTTGAAAAATATGTTGTTAACAATGATTGACGACAGATTATTCTATATAGCTAATTTAATTTTCATACATCATTGTGTTCTCTTCGTAACAATTACAGACAAGGTATTAATGACGATTGGTCACTTATACTCACTAGACATTTTTTATTTATTTCTCCCCTTTGTTCTATTGTTTCATGATGCAAAGGACGGACGAATGCTCGTCTAATTGACAACAGTGTAAAAAAAATAAAGAGATACCTGCTGTAAATAACATTTTTTATTTCAAACAGAGATAACAATAGTATTCGAGCTTTCGTGCTCTAGTCTGAACGCATCATCAGGGATGACAGTGAAAGATTAGATTAAGTGTACATAGAGAAATAAGAGAAGTTATTAGTATCAAATTGATGTAATATGTTGTTGATATCCGGTAACTAGATGGAAACATTGAAAGTTGTGACAAATGTATGTTGACCATATTATCGTGGTTGTTTGATCACAAAAGAAAATGTTAGTGGAGTTAATGCGAAGAGGATCAACGTTGGTGGTAGAGTGGATTAACTCTCACAACACCAACTAAACCAATTTCCAAAGGTAATAACATCGATGATAATCGTTCTTTTTTCCCTTTTTTTTGTGAACTAATAATTATTAATTATTAATTATAATTTAACGTAACCATAAAATTAATGATAAATATAAGACGAGACTGTTTACATTAATTATGTATAGATAAGCTAGTGATTTTGTATAAGAGTAAATTGTTTTTTATCAATGCTTATTATTTTGGTTTATACGTCTATTTGCAGAAACTAATAATATAAGAATTAATAAGCATTGTCATGTATATAACCTCATAGTATATGAAGAAATTAGTGAAAGTATTATTACTAATTACATTATAATTTGAATTAGTAGCGCATCTAAGAAAAGAATGGACTCATATACACGCTCAATGGAAAATAATAAAAGACATATAATTTTATTCATATAAGTATCTATTTTCTGTGTTCTTTTGTCGTATTCTTTTGTTTTGTCTTATTTAACTTTTCATGCTATTCTTATGTGAATAAAAAAATAAAAGAATTAATTTAGGAAAAACTAAATAAATACTGAAATACTTCTTGCAGTTCAGGAGAATTACTGTTTATACATTGGACAAGTTATTTTACGACACAATTGTGAGACCCTCAGTGCAATGGAATTTAGAAGCTTTTCTTGTAGACATTAGAAGAAATCTGGGTTAGATCGAATCGAACCCAACCCGGACCGTCTTTTAGAAGACAAAGCCGGACCCAACCGAACTCG